AGAACGGGCGGTGACAAGAATTACCCGCCAGCGACGATGCCGATCAAAAAACGAGAGCTACACAGAATACGCTTGGACCATTCTAATCCACAGAGACATCTGCTCACACAGAAAGCCTTACCAGAAAGTTACACCTTTCCAAAAACTCAGCGCAGAAGTCGGATGCGTTGCGCAAAGAAGGGGCGATCGGCGCAGTGTGAACTAACTGAAGCACTAGGTGTTATCTGCTACGCTTGTTTGTTTGCTTGTTCAAAAAATCAGTTCTCCCTGAAGAACAACTTGGAGTGGTTCGGACAAGGTTGAGACGGTTAGGGCATGAGACAAGATGTAAAGAACACTTATAGCCTATGCTAAGACACTCCTACAGTGCGTGGAAGGTGCCCTCAAGCATGAGACTCATTTCAAAAAAATTACATTATTGTACTTTAGAAGGGACCAGTTGATAATACGAGGCACGCCCTTTGTGCGGAGCTTACGGCGAGGCGTACAAAGCTAAACTTAGGAATACATAGAACCGTTCCGGTGCATTCCAGACACCGTCAAAAGGTGATCAAAAGTGTGCAGGAGCTCGTCTATTGCAGTGAGACAGAAACGCTCGACTGTGTTAAGACGCGCCCACAGCGGGCAAAGCGTACAGTCAAGCACGAGGTTCCTATTTCCACCCGTCTTGATGCATAGACAGCCGCATCTCAATCCACCGGTCGTCGTAGCTTCATGGGACACAAGTCGGCTCGCGCCGGCTGACGCTGGCCACCTCTTTCTGTACAACGGTACGGCTTTGCAAGGCGCCGTGACTACCATCTTCCACATCTCTAGGGGCTCAACTGATACCCGACCTTTCTCTAATATGTGCACGTGAACGACTCCCTTGCCACCATGTGTCATGCTATTGGTCAAGGAGCATTAACCATGTATACAGATTAAAAAAGTCCAGCCGTACCATGCTACTGGTCAAGAAATCCGATTTTTATTGGGTTCAAGTATGAAAGAAGGGATGGACGCGCAACGGGGCCGCGCCGGCCTGGCATGGCACATGGGAAGGACTGTTCTAGACGGGCTTATGTGCTGTTTATCTTTGGGTAGCTTTTTTCAGCTTTCCTGCTAGCGCAAAGAATAGGCTAGATGTAATGGTCACTAGTTCCTCCTATATAATCAAAGTAAAAATCTATAGTTGTGCAGAAAAAGTTTCTTCGATCAGATAGTCGCTTGCAGATTAGAAGGCAGATCTAGGGACAGATTTCAAAGGATACCGCTGGAGAAGCCCTAAACGGGGAGCTCTTAGTTTCAACCGAGAGGCAAAAAGATTTTGTGGATTCCGTGGTAGGGAACAGGGTAGAGCAGGCCAGCATACAAACGAGCAAAACGACAGGCACATGAGCTGCGTTCCAGTTGCCAATACCTCCTTTCTTACGCGAAGCTTCTACAAAGCTGTACATTGCGGTCCACTTCATACTCTTCCACAAAGAGCTACGCTTCCTGCAAGTGATCGGCTTTCGTTCGAGACCAGCGCTTTGGTACACAAATGGCAGTATCTGTCTCATGTGGGACATCGCCATGACGATCGCCCTCCCTCCCTCCATAAAATTACACCATTTCTGCAGCAAACAGCTGCTACCTAACCCGCGATTGCCGCTACATAGTCGCGTCCTACCAAAGCGCGGAATCATCACTTTAACGGCTTTATATTTCAAAGAATGATAAAAAAGGAGCAATGTGTGAAATACCTAGTACCAGGAAGGCTTATTAGTGGTCAAAGGGGTATCGTTGGCTATATAAATCTTTGACAGCTTCGAAAGGACCAACGAATCGGATTGTCTCGTAGCGCAAACAAGCAAACGACCTGCACGTTGTCAGGTGTTATGAATGCTAATAGTTCCCCTACAATGTCAAACGGGAAAATTTATACAAAATCAGAGAAGTGCTGTTGTCAACACGACCCTCCCAGTGTGCCGTCCAGTACTTGTTCTTGCTATATTTAATCCGGTTTTGCTTGACAGACGCCAGATCGAAAGAAAACTCTTGCGACACTTACGAACAATTTTTCTAGAGAAAAAGAGGCATTTTTGAGACGATCGGCCCGAGATTGCTCTCCAGTATTTTTGAATCATGGTCTTCGACCATTGATTGAGCATTTGGATGTCATCGTTTACAATTTTTCTTTGTGCACCCCGGAGAGGCGGTCTGGCAAACATTGGTAAAGAAATATCGCAAACTACGCACGTAACTGCTTCAACATCCCTCAAGCGATAAAGATCACCTTTTTAACTTGCAGAGCCAAAGGCGGATCTGCAAGTTAAAAATGTCTCTCTGGTTTGTCAAAAGCAGTTGGCACGATAAAGCTCTAAGACGTGTAGCACTAATCCTGGGACGCCTAACTTGCTTCAACATCCCTCAAGCGATAAAGATCACCTTTTTAACTTGCAGAGCCAAAGGCGGATCTGCAAGTTAAAAATGTCTCTCTGGTTTGTCAAAAGCAGTTGGCACGATAAAGCTCTAAGACGTGTAGCACTAATCCTGGGACTGACTGCGGCGTACCTGAGCAAGCGCTGCGCGGCACCTTCTCCAGTCTTATAGCGGCCTATCAAGCTACAACGTACTGACACGGGCGCCCACCGCGCCCATTCGCCCACAAATGTCGGACCGATCCTGATGCTCCTATCGCTCCATTTGCGAAGTACAATAGGAGGCAAATTTGTTGACATGAAGCGGTGGTGATGCAGCATGGATATATGAGTGCATATGTACATGCACCCGTATCTACCGCAGCGACGCCAACGCAAAAGTCGTCCGAAACTGCTTTCGGAGGAGTTTTCCATCGGCAACAACACCTGTGAAACAAAGGCTTTTCTTTCACAGGTGTTGACCTTTTCACTTTTCCCACTATTCAGCACCTCTGCTGCTGCAGATTACCGGATTATCGTTCCAACTGCCTTTAAGGACTCGCAAATGGTTATCGTCGGGTATCGGCACAAGGCAGTGACGGTCACTGCTTTCTCTAGGGTAGTTCCCGTCATTTGTCAAACGCTACACATTACACTCAGCTGTGTACCGAAAACTGATAATTAGCTCCATTCCAAGAACGAGATCGATCGCTTTATCGCTACTGTCGCTGAATTTCTGAGAAGGCGAAATCAGGAAATCGCTAAACGATTGTTTGAGAGAGGGAATTCGGAGCTCCACAATGCGACGGCGATTGAAGAGCAGGTATCGGAGGTGTTTGGATTTCAAAGATTAGGTGGGATGAGCACTTCGTGTGCTCAGGAAATAACCCTGGATAGGATCGAACACCGAACGGATCCCTCTGGATGTGAAACGAGCTTCTCGGCGACCGTCTATTCGATGGTTAGACTTATCCGTGAAAGCTTCAAACAAACATTTTGATGTTCAGCGGGTTCCTCGAGCGTTGAAAGACGGCAACTCAGCAATTTGCAGGGACGAATAGAGTAGTACTGGAGCAGCAGTAGCTAGAAAGCGGCCAAGAGCATTCTCAAGGAACACTGTCTCCCAAGATTACTTGAGGGATATTCAAGCGAACCACAGCTGATAATTTCGATCTTCTTAATATGCTTGGCTCACCAGCACTCTTTCGGGTCCGATGAGGTGCAAGTGCAGTGGTCTCAAGTCTTTTCGGTGAACTGAAATTGACTAGGCAGCGTTCATGACCTGTAATAGTTCCATAATATCTAGTCTTGTGCAGTGCCGACGAAGTCGAAACGAAACCGAAAGCCAAGAACCAGCTGAACCAAGCCTTCCTAAAAGGAATCGGACATGCAAAAGCATGTGCGGCTTTGGCTTTCTGGTTGGAACAGAAGGGAGATGATGACTTCTTTCCTTTCTTTTTTCTCTGGAGACTGCTTCTTTTTGTATCTGCGCTCCATTTTACAAAATCTGAGACCACAGCAGCCAGTCTCCTATAATTATCTGAGCTCTTCGTAGGAAAAAGTAGCGTGGACTGCAACGAAGCACCCTGTATAAGCACTTGAGGTGCTATTTGAAAGATGTCCTAACTGCTGCATCTTCGCTGCTTTGTCCTATCACCCGATATTCACATTGATTCTATGTCTTCTCGCTTGGCACGAGTATTACTTGGAGCGTTTTCGTCGTTTTTCTCTCATTTTCCTTTACGAGTATGTAAACTATCAAGTACACTTTTGTTTCCAAGTTTGCTACTTACAAACATCTCGTTGGCTCATCGCAAAATCTGCCTTTGTAGCAGAAAATGAAGCCTCAAAAGCGCAAGGCAGAGTATCTTACAAAGATGGAATTTTCTATCAGATGGTATAAAAATTACCAGCAAAATGTTTCGCTTTCAACGACATATTCGACATGGAAAAACGCATTAATATACTGCAGTGTCAGCTGCTCATTTCTATCACAGTATTTGTACCCAAAAGCACAAGGAAATCTTCGTTCACGGAATTTCTACAGTTTTCTCGGCATATGGCTCGCCATGGTTTCGTGCGGCTGGATGGTGTCATCCGCAAGGGAGAAATCGCACAGTATACAAATCGCTCTTGCGTGTACTCCGTTCAGTGTATTCGAAATATAGATTATAAGAGCCGGTATTGAAGACAATTCCCACATCATGTGCAAGTAGCAGGCGCTCAGTTATGAACCAGTAGCCCATCAAAAACTCATCAGTAGAGAAAGAAGCGAAAAAAGTTCGGGAACACCCTGAGCGCGGAATCTCGCTAGCAGTGCGGCTGCTGTCGTCTTGAGCTTGAGCTTGTAAGCTGTCGTCCTGAGAGTTACAGTAACCGCTTGTAAGGGTTGTGAAACTCACGCGTCTCTAGCTTCTCGCCATTTCGAGTAGCGAAAGTGGTATACTCTCTGCAAGTACGGACAATGATGCCGGATGCACGAAGCCATTTCGATGATCACTCGATCGCAGGGAGTGTCTCCATGCAAATAGCAATGTCAAGCCTTTCATACTGTGAACTCACTCTTTCTTTACATTTATTATACAATTAACGAGAATCTGACTGAAACAAAGCAAGTTATCACATAACGTAGAATACACCTTCCTTATATTTCGCTGCTTTACCCGGCGGTGGTTTCATTTTCAAAGGAACGAGACGATGATAGAAGACAATAACCATCACAAGCGCTAGTCCCAATGTACATATCTGCGTGACCATTACGTATTTGTAGCCGGAATACTTGAACAAATACCTGAAGTTTCTGAGTGAGAAATCAGAGTATCGCTCTATCGTATTGTTATCAGTTTGCAAACCAAAGGGACAAACGTATCTGAGCAACCAAGTTGCTTCAGCCATCAGCATGGAAATTAAAAGATCTTTGAAGCAAATACAAGAGATTGAAGGAAAAACATACGTTGCTAGAATAGGAGCTATACACTGAGCAAAGCTGCCCCCAAACGAATGAATTCCTTGCATCATTCCCTGAAATGCTCTCATAATAATGTTTGCTCTGAGGAAGGAGGTGTTCACTCAGGATTATAAAGAACCCTAAGACCGTTTGTTGCACATTTTGAGGGTCTACGCGTGTACTGCAGTAAGTACATTATCTTCTTGGAAACGACAAGGAAGTATTCAAACCTCGTTTTATTGAACGAAAAGGGTGTTTGCGAATATTTGTTGGACGGACAAAAGGGTCAGACATATGCGAACAAAAGAAAACGACAATTACAGCGATGCAAAACTTTCCCACCTCTTGAAACCTGTTATGCACTCAAGATCCCTGCAAACGGCGCAGGCGCATGACCCGGAGCGGATCACAGTGCAGCCAGGGCAATAATTTTTTTCTTCTCTCTCTGAGTTTTCTGCATGAATGATGACATCCTGAGTCCGCTACGAACCATCGTCACCCACCATCTACCACCAAACTTTGAATCGGACAGTGCATAAAAGCATAGAGGTAACTGGACACAATTTCCCGCAGCAACTTCAGCGGTATATGATACGGTGTATTTTCTTCAAGATTGAGGCAGCTGGTGCGGAAATTACTAGAAGACCGTGGACAACGTATAGTCAAACAACGCGTCGTATCATTGAGGATAGTGATTAATCATAGTATAGCCCCAATTGTATGACCCCGTTGCAGCAAACTTCATAAGCAAGTAAGTAGAGAGGTGCTGTCAAAGAACACTTTCTGACGCACCGTATTATAAAACGCAAAGGTGCAAGACCACTCTGTTAAACGACACCGCGCCACCGCATTGCGATGATATAAACTGCACATCCACACTTTCATTCATAGAAGAGTCCTTGATGTCTTCATTGAGTTACCTCATCCCATCACTCTCCTATACTTGAAGTAGTTGTTTTGGTTTGATAACTTGCACGAAAGCAATCGAGTAATTGTAGCACTGGTTAGCGCGAGATGCGGGTTCGAGCCCCGCCTAGGGTATGACCTTTGCCCATGAATCAGCACTCTAGTATTAAGTGAAAGTAAGGAAGACGTTATTGATACCTGCTTACGTGGTCCAAGAATTTGCGAATACAGGGTCGCTGACGGTGACCCGGTGAAAGGGAAGGAAACGCCGAAGAAGAAAACAAAACAGATTAGGTATATTGGGAAAGGTACTCGTACAGCTGTTTCGCACCATATATAGGACGGAAGGCATCCGCCAATCTCAGTTGAGTTCTTCCCTGGAAAAATAAAATCACAATAATCGGAAGGATCATTTTCTCGACGTGGTCTTTTGTTTTCTGACAGGTGAGAATGAGCTTAAACAAGTAATTATCTCATGTATGATATGAACCTCTGAGCAATGTTCGTATTCAAGAAAAGCATTTGTCGCAATGCTGATAGAGAAGTATAAATTTTTCAACGAGAAACTTATATTTATAGGAAGCATAGGTTGGTGCTTGTCACTGACAAATAGTCAGTGTGCAATATCCTGAAGCACCGCGCAGCATGCTGCAATCGGCAAAATGATCGCTAAAAAGCTATCAGAAAGCCGCACCGAAGACGTATGGCAAGGAATGGAGATCCAGGTCCAAAGTCGGAACTAAGTTCTTACACAGCTGTAATTTCACCTAGCGCTATCGGGTTTCGAAGGGAATAGTCTGCGGACAGGATGCTAAAGGATATCTTCCTGGATGCTAAAGGATATCTGCACGTTGGTCAGTAATGGACGCAATCATAAAATCAGCCGTTCAAAAAAGATGTGGTGCTACTTGCTTTAGAGGGGCGTTTGCTCATTCATAAGTACGATATGATACGTCACGTTGATTCACTTATAGCGCCGGTTCCATTTCTTATTACACGTTACAAAGAGCGGGAGGCCGCACTTCAGCAAGTCAAGCAGGCTCCCTGTTAAGACTTAATCCGCAACCAGCAATCTTGCGGACGGACAGACATACGAACATACATACATACATACATACATACATACCGACAAACCGACACACAAAGTTTCTGCTTTATAGAATATAAGGATTCTTGAATTGGAATAAATGATCGCTAACCTTCTGGAATATAGTCGAGCGGTCCGGCGTAGAATGGCCACGGAAAGTTAAAAATGTGAAACAGTAGAAACACAGTGACACCAAACATTATTTGTTTTCTTTTTTCACTGAAATTTATGAAACATTGGTGAGTACAGGGCTTCGCTCAGCAGGTAACAGAAACCAAAAAGAAATAAATGATGTTCTATAACCGCAGCTCACATTTGTCCTATGCGAGTATATCCTATGAGAAAACTATTTCCTGAAGATACCAGGCAAGATGCTGTTTGGAAGATTCCATTGTAAAGGACTGCGTCGGAGTCCTTCCAATTGTACATCACGACCGACCAAGGCGTTGAAATCCTGGAACAATATTACGACCTCTTCAGCCATCTCTTTAATTGAGCATTTGTGAGAGTTTAGACGTTTCTCGAGAGTTCGCGTCACAGCGCAAAGAGAGTGAAATAATAAACAAAAGGCACTTGAGGGCAGGGTACAGCAGTGTTGTGCGAAACCCATCGGGGGTCATACTTGACCGCTGCGAAGGGAGGGCTCGAGGAGGTTAACGCACCGTCGGTTAGCACCGAGCACAAAAGTGTCATCGATAAGCATGATGGAGCGGAAGGGGTTACAAAATATTAAAACAAGCGAATGAGTGCCTTTACAATGGCACAGAAGGAGTCGAGCTTCCGAGTGGTTGAATGTCGTCTAAGGGTGACCCATCTGAGATACCTTCGAAACAGCGGATTTTCAGGTGAAATTTGGAGCTCGTTGGGAAGAGAAAATATTGGGCGTTCTGATGGCGCTTTTAGTTTTGCAAAAGATTGCGTTTGAAAGAAGTTATTCTCGTCTGAAGCATAAAAACCCGCTCGCGATTCACCACTAACGCGTCCTGTGACTCATCCGAAATATTTCAGCAACGGAAGATGCAGATTGCGAGCAGGTAGAAAGCGCAAGTGAAGACATCGTCTTCAACAGGCCGATTTCCGTTTCTCAGAAGCCTCGCACCTGAAAAAGTCATCACCTTAAATGCCCTGCCATTTCCACCCGGCCAACAGATCTAATTTGCCATGGGATCATTACGCGGCTGTAAGCGCTCGCAAGTCGTCAAGTACCGTAATCCTTCTTGTCAAAGCGAACAATTAGGGCCGGATGGGGGAGCGTGTACCAGGGTCCTATTTCTCGGGAGGTGGTCGCACTAACACTGCCATTTCACACATCACGATGCTGTACCCTGCTTGAATGTCTGTTGAAAACCCGTGTCAGTGAGAGACAGGACCCCACAGATAAAGCGCAAAAGGCTCACAATGCAGCTCGCTGCAAAAATAACATGTAATTACAATAAATGACTAGAAAATGCGATCAGGTCTACTCGGAATACTTTCATTGGCAGATGTGGATTGGTCTTTTTATATCAAAGTTGAGATGACCTTTAGTTATTCGGGATGGGACCTATACCGCGATGGCACACATGTTTCTTACGTTTATGTCGAATCTGTTTCCAGAAGCTGCCAAATTTTCTTTTTGTGGAGCTTGAGGAATGAGAGCAGTGTAAGCCTATTGCCAATGGCTTTTTCGGGTATGGCCTGAAAACCAAGCATAGGGTTATCGGATACTCTTATTTTCAGCACCATCCTCATTCGAAGCTATAGAGTTTGTGTGGCTTGCACTTCGGCCATATATACTCCCCCTCCTTCTTGTAAATTACAAACTGCCCAAACACAAAATCATTCCAGGACTCTCTACAAGCTATGAGGGCGAGAGCTAATTCTTTAGAAATTTCAAGAAGGGTTTCGGCAGTGTTTCTGAAAAAAGCAAAAGGCAAGCCAAGATCCGAATCTGTGACCTCTTCCCCATACTAGCGCGCTAAGTCTCACAAGTGATCTAACTTTAGGGGTGATTTTGAGAGATAATGTTTGATGACAACAACTGTAGCAACTAGAATGGTGTGTTTGTCAACATTGTGAAGCTTCCAAAGCTTATTCAAAAAACTCAGAAGATAGAGAAACCTTCAAAGCCCCCCCCCTGTATTATTTATAGATATTATAAACAAGTAATCAATAAACATTGTTCCTAGTTATCACAAATGAATAACTTTGAAGAGTTTTCAGGACATCAGTGTAATTTGATTTTTTGAATTAAATTTTGGAGATTCACATATTTCTCAAATATTCAGTTATCATGGGGTGCACGACAACTCAGAGGGTAAAACCTTCCACATCTTCACTGAAATGTACTTGGCAGATTCGGAGAGCGTATTCCTGACCAGTAGTAGGAACTAGGCATCAACCGTGTGTCTCGTTCCAACGTAAGGAGCTGGCCTAAGCTTTTCCTATTGTGTGGAAAAACTCAGTTTCAGCCCTCCAACCTTTACGGTAAAAAACTGTCAGATTCCTCCATCATACATGTCTAAAGGGAGGTTCGAGCGTAAGGTGATGCTAAAAATTTGCAAGGAAACAGTGAGCAATAGTGCATGACAAGTCGACCTTTTTCATCATGAGCGTGAAGATTTGATTCTCAACCTGTTGATCAGCATAATGCCCAGATGACACGGTCAGCACCTCTCCTTCACGGTGTTATTGTGTTAATGTGCAATGAATGTAATGAAAAAACTAACACTTCGATGTTTGTCGCGACCATACATGAGACCATCCACAAGATAAATGCAAATTACAGCTGGTATCACGTCAAATTTTGGGATCACCATGAAAGCATCGTTTTCTGAAATGTTTTTCATTACTTCCTCGCAGTCAGGTTTGTTGCTGAAATGCTTGAATCGCTTTCAATCTGCCAATACGTTATCAATTACCATCTTTGTTCTTCTCTATAATACCAGCATACTCTTCCTTGAAAAACAGATTTATTATGAGGCAACAGACAATTGAAAGCAGCACCATGAAAAATGCAGGTAATGTGTACATGTTGAATATAATCCGTCCCAAGTCTGAACCCATGCTCCCCCACAGGAGTGAAGACTGCCTGAAAATGCATAGATAGAACCTTCTTAGAAGAAAACATCGAGACACTCAGTTCAAGGTATACCAAGCTCGAAAATAGGTCGCTCCTATTACAAGCGGTAGGGCAGAATACCTAAAATAGGGAACTGCCTCAAATCTGTTTCCATGGAGGATATCTCAGTCTTCTCCACAAGCACCGGTTTTTCATGGTACGTTTCGAATTTTAATAGTGTGGTTTTAAAAGTGTGGTTTTAAAAGTGTGGTTTTAATAGTAAGGTTTTAATCGTGCGTATACCTGCTAAATCTAAATCTATTTGGAAAATAAAATATATTGCATCAATTAAGCTCTATAAATAGACGCCAAAGAGCCAAGAACTGGGGAAAATGCGAATCAAGTCAATCTGCCTTTTAGCTGTGAAACAGTAAACTTGCACAATTCCACAACATAATTTACAAACGGCAAGCATCAGTATGCTGAGAGCATGATTTCAGCAGATGCAGGGACCACGTTAGCACCACTACAAGTGCAACCTGCGGGCACTGAGGGTGTGATATGCGTGACAATGGGAAGAACTTCTTGATTTTCTCTGCTACGCTTTCAGCCCATCCCTGAACACGACTTTTTGCTGCTCTGTGGAGATGGCCGCACAATCGAAAGCACATAAGCAGCTTCTTCCGCAGTGACTTGATGATATTTATTTCTTTGCTTTCCACTAGTTGATATGAGGTAGAAGCATTGAATCTCTTCCAGTGGCACGAATGGGCATCGTCAGTTAATACCTCGCACAGCTATTCGTTTTCGAACTCTCATCAATTTTCTGAGGGCCACACCCAGTTCTTTCCAGTGATCCCCATTCTTCAGAGTGGTTTTCGACGGTACAGTTAATGACGGTTTCTAAATGCTGCTACAAGTAGAAGAGAAGTTAGCAAAGTGCGTTGAAACAATGATTAGTAGCGTCAACATAACCAATCCGATTACTACTCCTTCTGGTTAAAATGCGAATTTACTGAGCTGGTAACGATGAGGACGCTCTTTCAACCACGATTCGACAGCACTGAGGAAACCCTTACAACATTTGGCGCCCGCATGTTTAGTCACTGCATGGAGGGCCCCTCACTGCCAAAAGTAGGTGAAGGGGCTCATACAAAAATTACATGATGAAGATGAGGAAGAAGAACCATGAAAAACGCTCAGGAAAAACATTGATTCTAGGCACTAAAAGGATATGACACGAAGACACAGAGTAAGGAAAAAAGATAACGACGTAACAAGGCGAGAGTACAAAAATATGAAGACTCTATCATCACACACGATGTTGGAAAAATAATAAGGCTGAGCCGAAGGTACCGCGGCACTTGAATAGATTGTCTCAAAGAGAATCAAGAAGCTTCCTGAACGCTGTGGTTCTACTGTAGCTACTGTACAGTGGTCCCGCAGGTTTCAGAATAGCTCCAGATGTTCCATAGTGGCTCGAAGTGATTTCTTAAAGTATGTATGTTTTTATGGTTCGTCTTCCGTACTAGTTTACGACCCATACTGCCTCGCTCCTGAAAGGCTACACTGCTGGTGACGAGCGAGCAGGCACCTGTACTCTTCCTACTGGTGGCCGCCTTACTTTGTTCTATTAAGCATCCATTCTGAAAACTCGCTTAAAGTGTTGCAGGATCATCGCTGAACTTCATGCGGTAAGGATCGAAGCATAATCACGGCCCTCTCTTTGCGTTCTATTTTGAGTGATGCTGTTATAGTTGTTTTTGTCAACAAATGAAGTTTTCTGCGCACATGCTATTGCAGAATTTATTGGAAGCTAGTCACTTGACAGAGGAATTATTTCACACCTTCTGATAGAGCCTGGTGAAGAGAAACCTCATATTTCAGAGTTGAAGATCATGACATCCTCCCAGCATCTTATTGGAGTGACCCTTTGCTCCCGGGCACAGCCGCAATAATTCCAGTGAACAGACAGATCGACACATTTGTATGCAACGGATTTAGGCACACGGCATACATATGCAGATTTCGTACCTGTATTGCTGGTCCGAAGGAAAGTCCCAGCACGTAGCCAGCAGTGCCGAAAGAAACAGAACTGAGACGATCACGCGGCGTGGAAGCGGTAGCCGCGTAGGCTCTCAGTACTGACAATGTCCCTGAATTCAAGAGCTCTCGGAGTACCAAAGAACTAACAACTGTCCTTGCAGAATCACCTGCGCCGAATCCTGTAAGTAGCCTTGCGAACAGCATGACCCACTTCTGGCCCTGAGTGGAACAGTGGAAGTAAGCCAAATATGGCTTGCCCTTCAACAGAACTAAGAAGAAAATAATATTAAAGTGTTCCATGTGTTTCTTAATTTTCTCATAACGACTTTCTGCGGCAAATGGAATAGTGCGTCAGGTATCGCAATGTATGGCTCACTGACTGTATGCAGCTCTGAGCCCCACCGCCACAAAGTGATGTTTTCAGCTCAGTCAAAGCTCAGATGGGAATATCAAGGGTCCTGCGTTTTCCAGGGGAACATCGTTGGTTGTATAGGAATGAAATGCCACCACACAATCAAGTGACATGAATGGGTAGTAGTAGACTTCCTGTCCAGTCGATTCGATCAGCTGTAGCATTGCTATGCTCAAAACAATGGAGTTTTGGTGAAGACACCCTGCTTGACATTACACGTGGCCCTTATTCCCCTGCGAGTGGGACTTTTCGCGAGATTTATGCGATTTCTTTGATTGCAGCATTTTTTTTCCGAGGGTGGTCGAGCGACAACCATAAACAGCGTTTAACAAAATACCGGTCGATCATGGAAATTGTGCGCCAAACACTTGATGTATAAAGCAAGGGTGACCTACAAGAGCACATTTTCTCTACGTTAGGAACTTCTTCCTACTAATTCTGTGAACTGATCTTTTAGTGTCTTTTAGTCTTTCTGATTCTTTTGCGGTTGGTTATATGATTAATTACTTAAGTTTGAGAAACCTAACGCCACCAGCGAGAGACATTATTTGGCCAGGTGGTGGAAGAACTGAACTAAGCCACTCATTTTTTTACCGAGACTAACGAACAACGAACATCACTTCGGGCGGAAAAATGGTGTCCATCCTCACATGCAGCAGAATTTCCAGCCCAGTAACAGGTACGCCGAGCCATGAACAAACTGAGCTTATGCTGTTCTCCTTTTCTTGCCTAACAAACTAAACGATTTTTTGGTCGCCTATCGCGTTCTCACGCGGGAGGAAGTCTCACTACCGAGCCAAGAGCAGTGCAGGAAAGGTTATTACGTAACGCGGAAGCAGCCAAGGTTTTCTTATTCTAGATTGCCTTGGAGCCATAATTAAAGCGTTCTTATTGACACTGGAGGAATGTGAAAAGAAATCGAAAAATAAAATTGTCTTGTTGTGCAACCTCAACTCAGTCCATATTTCTGGTGTCAATATTTGCAGCTATACGCAAGCCAATCACATGAGGAGTGCCAGCGTTATTTCTCCGAAATTCAATATTTGCTAAAATTGAAGAGACTTTTTACGCATCTCTTGGATGAAACATTCGCTTTGGAATATTTGTATCATGTACGCCATATGAGATAGTGCAGAAAATTTCTAAGTATGTAACTGATGGAAAATTGAAACCTGCTCAATCTTCACCTCAACAACGCTACTGTAACCTCATTTGCTTATTGACTACGGTCCCACCTGAGGTCCCACTTGTGGCCCACAGCCGGGTCTTGTAACGATTTGGCCCCTTTCATCACAAATAATTCTGAGGGATTGCAAGAGAGTTCCAATCGAAAGGGATCCCAGTGGAGAACCGCTTTATTAGTGCCAATGAATTTTAAAAATTGGTGAAGATTGCAGGTGAAGCTCTGACTTTTAAAAGCAGTAACGTTTTAATTTCTCTCAATTGATTCTTTAATGATATCTTACCAACCAATAAGCATCATTGTCATTCCGACAACCACTGGAGCCTTGATTGACATTGTTTTCTGGTTCCAAAGTCCGAAGAGCGGATTCGCCTAAAGCAGTATTTGTGATGATTCCGATGTTGTAGCAAGTGCATGAGTTTAACATTAAGAAAGTAGTTTCGCGCGGGAAACTGACCCTGAGTAGATTTCACAAATAAAGGGTAACAGAATGCCACATAATACTCAAATCAAAAACCAGCAACAATGAAGACTCATATAATGTAAGCATAATTAACTCAAATCATTCGAATTCGAAGTGGACAGATTATGGTGCTTAGGGGCTTCTCAGCCCCCTAATCTTTGCGACGTTTCTAGAGGTTCCCTAACTTTGATCAGCTGTGTCACAGCACCTCATCCGAAGTATCGTTTCTTGTCATTTTTCGCGCCCAAAACCACAATTCATATGGAGGCTGAACGGAAGGCATTGTCTACATCAGTACCGGCCCCCTCAACGTCCTAGCAGTAAGCGCGTTGCAGAAATATTGAAGTGATCCGTGCACTGTAGACGGATTAGCGACGTCCTTCCCCACTACAGTAACTCTACTCGCTTTATTACTTATTAATACAGTTTTTGTCACTTGACAAACCGATTAGCCCTTAAATACTTACCATCAGTTGAGGGACTGCAGTCAAAGAAATATTCTGAAATGAAAAATGCTCACCACAGAGCATCCAAAACTGCATGCAGCAATTACCCAACCGAGAAAATCTACCGTTGCTGTTCTATCTACCTGAAATGGGATCGTTCACTCTACACATTACAACTTAATAAATACAAGTTGAATAGACATATATGGAGCACATTCAGATTATGCGTATCAGCTACCGACTTGACCGAAAAACTGACGCCCTCGCATTTCAAGTTCACGTTCGAGAGAGACTGAGTAGGAGCTGTGCAAAGTGCACTTACATTGCTGAGGTACGGCCACATCGACATATAATAGATCGACGTTTGAACGCCTACTATGAATTGCATTCCTATCGAAATCCATATAGATCGCCACGGGGACTTCCTCTGATCTAGCATCGACAGCGACCTTAACACGTAGCTTATCATGCAGCGCTTACAACACCTAATCACTTGATTTGTTCTTTGCTGATCTGAATTCATGTACTCCAATGTTCCTAATCCAGCAATACAATTTGAAGGAATAAAAGAATCTAATCTATAGAAAAGATTTATACATGGGGAATGCTGATAATGAACGTAAGTGTTGCTCTTAAGGGTGCTTTATTTTGTTGACGCATTTCATATTCTGCTGGACTTTCCGTAGCCTACCCCTTCGCCTGTTAAGATCGCCAAATGTGACGTGTATCCATCTATCGTGTTGCCTCATGCTTGTATGTGATGAGCGTTTCCTGTCAGTCAAGCCAAGGCAAGAGTTCTAGCTCACTTTCAGTGAAGAAAACAGCAAGAGAAGAAACCGAGAGAACGCCCCAAGCAGGTTATTGCTTTCTGCAACTGATTTTGATTATTGGCGAGCCCACGAAGATGCACGCGGTGAAGAAACACTGTCGGTACGGGTCTACAGACAAGTTGACTCAATACATTCAAATGCCACGAATTCAAATTACAACATAGGACGTGCCCTAGTCGGAACAGTTTCACAACATATCCTCTGCTTACAGTGAGTAGAGATAGAAAGAAACGGCTAATTTCATTAGCTCCGTTATGAGACGCACCACGCACTCGACCTCTGTTCCATGAATACATGTTAATGCAAACTTACCCTTTGCGCGGTTCAGACGACATCCCGCGTGCAATCTGAAATGAAAATATGACAGTTAGGAATGTAGCATCGCTCAAAGTTCCACGAACCGTAAATGTTATACTGTCATAGTCACGGAGCGACATACGTACAACCGTTACTTCCTTCTTCACTTGATGGGGCTCTTATTGAGGCACCTTTAACCTTCCCTATACCGTTTCTTTCCGTGTAGGGTGAATGAGTACGCAGTTGCTTGCCACTTTCTCTGGTCAAATGTGTACGGGAAGGAGGCTGAAGGGAGGGGGGGGGGGTAGGCTCAGTCGCACTTAGGCCCACGCTGCCCCTAGGCCAGCCACTCGCGTGACCATAGTTAAACGCGTTACCTGAATGCGCTTTCTCACTTCTGGTTGTTCTTTATCACTGAGTGCGTATCTCTCTGCGAGACCTCGGGACGCAATTGCTGCACTTTGAAGATAGAGCTGGCGCAGTCGGGAGGCACCACCCTGTTGTCACCACTCTCCAGCCTCTCTCCCGGACACATTTAAGCACAGCACGAAAATGGCACGCTACTGCTGCTGCAACTACGAGCCCATTCACCTCGCACGTGGAAATAACTGCCCTCGGAGGTGAGTGTACTGAGTGCCGTTTCGGTAATGGGACGTTGACTGCGAAAGTCGAACTGAAGGAATGGTTGTGGTTGCAAGAATAAAGTCTGGAAAGAATAAAGTCGGGAGTTCAGGGCAAACAATTACTTTCAGCCACGTTAATTTCGAGTGATTTTCTGCTGTGTTGGATCTCGCGTTGGAGCAACAAAAGTAACCAGCATTGTTATACGGTAAAAAAATTTGGGAAAAAGAAGAGAAGGCAAAGGCAAGGCAAAGCATAAGGTTTGGGGTTTCGAACCTGCAATGAAATTAGTTTTAAATTTCCCAAAAAAAGAAGTTGTGGAGCACTGTTTTGGAGAGTCAATATGGTCATATGAGTGCTATCACAAGAATGCTGAGTTATGGGCAAAAGTGAGTGAGTGCTGTAAGGCTATGGCACAAATAGCCATTGAGCTGAGTGGTCAAAAGTGGCCTCGGTAGCGTAATAGGGAACGCAACTGCCCGGTAAGCAGAAGATGCGGGTTCGAATCCCGTCCGTGGTCCGACTTTTGCCCATAACTCAGCATTCTTGTGATAGCTTTCGGATCGCGTACTGCGGCGTTAAACAGCAGTTATCAAACAATAACGGTCGTATGAGTGTTTTGGTATTGGCTTTCATACTCATGGGAATAGAAGAGTGAGGAGTAAAATAATTTCCGATTCCCGAGAAGTGATGTACGTAAAATGAACTCGCCCACTATCATCGGGACAAAATTCAGAAACAATAGTTGGTATGCATGATAAACGCATCTTCTCTTCGAAACGATACGTCACATAAGAAATGTAGTACTGATGTACTACACTGTAAATGTAGTACTATCTCTTCAGCATAACATAAACTCGAGAAACACTGTAGAACAGATCTGATGTATTATAGGCAGCATATTTCGGCTTTTTTTCTCCAAGAACTGCTTACACCATGGCTCAGTCTTGCTTCAATGTTATCAAAAATGTGCTAGCAACCAGCGAAAACCAGACATTTTTGGAAACGTTGTGATATATTGTAGTATTGAAGAAGTTGAAGTACCTTCTTGCGGCCCTTCTAACAGAGCTCGCTGGTACAGGGCTGTTGTTACTGAAAGAATATTGTGATCCTTATCACCCTACCTCTACTTTTTGCCGGAGTAATAAAAGCTGCAAGGAAATTCCGAGGGTGTGTGCTAACTAACATCAAAAAGAATTTTTGGGAGATCGAATTGAGTGGAAGTTCATATGCATCCAATGAGACGCTTGAAGTTCGAGACCAAGAAACTGTCTCAGTTGAAACCTTCTCCGTTAGCGATGTGATCATTTTCCGGTTTCTGCATAAGTGAGCGAGGATTAAGGTAGAGTCAAAAACAAAAGTTTCAAGTGCTGGCAACAGGGCGAAGAGATCTAAGCAATAGCAGGGATACGGATAAGCGACAAAATCAACGTATAACACAATAAAATTTATTTCTCTGCGAAAAGTATTTTTTCAACTCCTGTTGTATTCCTGTTTGTTCATTCTCCTTGATCTCTCCAGCTACGGTAATATTATAAGAGTTAAGGCGAAAAATGGCGCTCCCCGAAACCAATAACAGGGAGAGGGTTGAAGAGTACCACGAATCGCTCTTACAACCTACAGTGCCTCTGACAAATGATGGTTGATTCACAAATGACGGACTCCAAATTTACCGTTCCTCCGGAATCAGTTCTGTGCTACAGCACCTGTCAAGAAAAAGAAGTATTATAGACCTTCCTGAACAGCCAATGAGCCCATAAGGCAAGGTCTGGGTCTCATTTGACTGGTGCCAGCTTGCCTTTTCCTCTCACTCATGCCTTTCCCTATTCCTTTTCTCTAGCACTTCAGCAATATCTTTTTTCCTTATCCGTTAAGTACGTCACCATTTGGCCCATTGTGAACCCCTTGAAGATCCTGCTGTTAGGTACAAAACTATTGACAGAATGCTATAATGACGTATTCCCAAAATTTCCAATATCAGCGTAGCCCTGAACAATCGCTGATAACTCCTTTTCAATTCTGTAAGGCCTTGTTAGGGACTGATAGCTCGTATCGCAAGGGGATCCATAAAAAAGTACATTGTCGTAGGCGACGTGTGTCCGAAAAAAGGAAATAAACCAGCTGATTCTTGATAGCGCAGTGCAAGGAAAGAACGAGCCTCACGACTGCGACGCTTAGAAAAGCTATCAACCGTAAGCAACACGATAAATGTCGATGGGAAAACCATCGCATACGTTTCTAGTTGATAGTCGAGCTAGTAGGAAGGAGTGGTTCGGGAGAGGGTGCGTTTGGACAGCAAGCTCGTCAAAGCGAAACGATTTTCGTCGTCTGGTTCTAGATATACTCCACAGTCGGAATTGATGGTGAAAATTCCAAGCCCCTGAGAACTCAAGTGATCCGTCACTACTGCAACAGAAGTCATCCATGAAGGCTGGTATGCTTCTGGAAGGCTCCTTGAGAGGATGTTTGCCTTAGGTGAGCATACGGAGTATCCAACCCGTGTAGGATCTCCTGATACCTTCGGGAAGAAATCGTCAGGAAATCACTAATCCGTGTACACATAATGGGAGAAAGTGTAAAAAGATAAAGTCGACATCGACAAGCCCTTTTCAAAAATGTGGCACGCGTTTACTTCCATTCAGGAGCTTGTTTTTGGATACGATGTGACCTATACAATGATTGAGTGGTCAGCCGAGTGTTCTTATCAGGGGTACATCATTAGTTGGTTATTTTGGTCGAAGTACGACCCTCCCTCCCCCCCCCTTTCCCAACAACGAGCCTGCACCAGCCGTAAAACAAGAGAAATCAACGATCAGAAAAAATTCCACACGACCCCTCTCCGAGCACCAAATAGGACCACCCTGCTGGGGCATTCACCGTCTTTCAATTCAATTTAGCGTCTCCG